AGTGCTGGACTCTGCACCTGGGCCAGGACAACCCTGGATGAAAACACAGACTGGGGAAGGAGAGGCTGGAAAAGCACTGCCATGGAAAGATGGTGCTGTTGAATCAGGGACAGAAAGAAGACTCCAGTCTTCAGGTGGAGGTAGGTAAAAGTGTTTAATAGGTAATAGTGTTTAATACCTTCAGTAGGTAAAAGTGTTTAATGAAAGTAGCAAGTCTTTTTATAATGTGACTCACTAAGGTGATACTTGATTGGTCTCAAAGTGAAACATCTACACTATTGGTGAACTATGAATAGCACACTTTGAAGAACCATACCTATAAACAATGGTTACAGAAAGAGAGATAATAATTGTTTGAATTCTTTCATCTAAGTTTCTTATAGTTTTTACACAGCTTCCCAGGATTTTCCTGGGAGAACTATGTCTCTCTCTGTTCAGAAGACGTGTAATTACTACAGAAAAGGACCTGGGGCTCCTGGTCACTGGTGAGTTGAACACGAGCCAGCAGTGTCCTGGCAGCCAGGAGGGCCAACCCTGTCCTGGGACATCAGGCACAGCATCAACAGCCGGGCAAGGGAGGGGATTGTCCCACTCTGCTTGGCACTGGGGTGGCCTCACCTCCAGTGGTGGGGACACTTTTGGGTGCCACAGTGTAAGAAAGACATTGAACTATTAGAGTGTCCAAAGAAGGGCAATGAGGATGCTGAAGAGGTCCATGCGAGGAGTGGCTGAGGTCTTTTGGGCTGTTCAACCTGGAAGAGACTAAGGGGAGACCTCACTGCAGTTACAGCTCCCTCATGAGGGGAAGAGGAGGGGCAGACACTAAACTCTGCTCTGTGGTGACCATGGACAGGAACTGAGGGAATGGCCTGAAGTTGTGTCAGGGGAGGTTTAGGCTGGATATCAGGAAAAAATATTTTCACCCAGAGGGTTGTTGGGCACTGGAATGGGGTCCCCAGGGCAGTGCTCACAGCACCAGCCTGACAGTGTTTGGACAATTTTCTCAGGCCCACAGTGTGACTCTTGGGATGGCCTGTACAGGGCCAGGAGCTGGACTAGATGATCCTGATAGGTCCCTTCCAACTGAGAAGGGAGTTGGAAGGGACCTATTCCCTTCCTAACAAGGCAGAATAACTGTCTTGTTATTCTTTATTTTTCTCTATTGGATTTGGATTAGAGATAACATACTCTGCAGATCTCAATAAACAATAAAATCTTGGCTTTTCTTGTATGTAAGGTGCTCTTTTTGCCCATAAACAAGACCTTGAACATAACACAGTGGAGGATAGAGGAGTATGAGGGCCTCTTCAAACTCAGCTCCTAGCAGGGGGCCAAAAGGCACTCTGTAGCATTTCTCCTGCTCTTTCTGAGGAAGGTGACACATTTTGCCAGCTGCGAACTGCTTTAATGGGAAGTTAGACTGTTATGTTTTGTGTCATTATTTTCACACCCACAGAGCTGAGGTCTGTCTCAGCAGTGAGATTGCTTTGCCCCTCCCTGTTACCATTTCCTTTGACATGGGATGGTGGTTTTCTTCTTAGCTGGGAAGTTAGGCAGGTGATATCTCTCTCTCTGTAGGCTGCAGGGTAGTGAGTGATGTCTTTGTTGTAGGTCCCTTACTTGCCCCTGTTTAGCTGATAATCAAGAATGACTTTAAACAGAGATGATAATATGTCTTAGTGATGCCCAGAAGATTTTAACATCGGTTATTTGGATCATCCACCACAGACCCTCCTGTCCAGCCTGTGAGGGAGCATGCCCTCTCTTTGATTTACTCTTTCTAGCACACCAGCCAGAAAGCTTCTATCTGACCTCTAGTTTAGCATCTGCTGGGAACAACAAAATATATGTTAAATTCCCCAAATGCACCCAAAACCTTCTTTTATAAACCAGATGCTCTTGCCGAGCAGCAGGTTGGGTAGGAGCCACCAGGAGCAGGAGAGCATTGTTCCCAGCCCATCATTCACGGCCCCACCTTGGCAGTGCAGTAGAAACCTGTGTGTTTTGTGGGGGAAGGAACCAAGGAGGATTCAACAGTGGCACAGTGGCACATTCTACAGGGACATGCTGCAGAGGGCATCAAAGAGGGAAATGCAGAGAAGTAGGCACACTCTGTGCTGCAGAAATGGTAGCAGGATTCCCCAAATGTTTCAAACTCCATTTGCCCAATTACAGCATGTTACAGACCCTGCTGTGGTTCAAGATCTTTTCCACTACTCGTCATAACTTTACTCCCTAACAAAGTTCCTGGTGATTTTAGAAGTGTAGTATCTAACCTGTATGTTTAGGCCTGAGACAACAGAAATGAAGTGCCTGATATCATATTGCTCCCTCAAGTTAGTCACCCAGTCCCAGCCCTTCACACATGTGAATGTTCTTGCTCTGTGTCTTGTGCATCTCCATTACAGACACTGATGTTGATGGGGATCCTGGCACAGACCAAACCACTTGCAGCTACCAGGACACAATTACCCTAGGATACTGCCACAAGTAAGCATTTAAGTGCTTGCAAACTACTTTCTCGGTCTGAAGTCTTATCCTTTTTAAAAACAAATTATTCATATTGTCTCAAATGCATTCATACTAGTGAAAAATTTAGTTCAGATACGTGAACAAGAAACCAGACTACAACTACTGCCATGTTTCTCATACACCATTCCTGCATTTGAGGCCAGACAATACTATCAAGAATTTGCTAACATTATCTACCCAGAAATTGCATAATCTGGTATGTTTGTTATCTGCAGGGAAAAGTCACTATCTTCTGATGGATGAAACCTCACAAGTTTCTGTACAAACAGTCATACCACCCGGATGCCACCAAAGATGGCTCTTCTGATGATGCCAAGAAGAAAAAAAAAAACAAATTAAAACACCCACCCAAAACCAAAAAAAAAGCTCATAAAAAGTAACAAAACTTTTCTTAGAATAGAATATTACAAGACAAATGTTCATTCTAACTGTACTATAAATATTATGTAAGCTTTAAGAGTGGCACATTCAGTCCACCACCAGTTGTCTCTGCCAGGGACAGAAGCTGCAGTGCTGTGCTGCAGTCCATGACATGCAGCTTCCTGGAGTGTAAGAGGCTCCTCTGAGCAGAAACTCCAGTGTAGAAGTCCAGCTTTTCTGCTGACATGGCTCCCTGCGTGCACTTGACCTGGCACAGTCCTGTCCTGCCATCACCAAAAAGGCATTCAGCATCAAGAAGGAAGGTGGCTTTGGCTGCTTTCAGCAGTGCTTTGATACAAATGTCAAGTAAATACTCCTAACTGCACTGTCACACCAGTCCCTCATTGCCTATAAGGAACCAGACCTTATCTAAAGAAAAACAGAGGGCTCAGGACCTTTGGAAAATTTGGAGCTCCAGCCATATCTTGGAGGATTTGTCATTACATGACACAAAACTGTGCTTGTTTCTTAGTTAGGGACATGGGTAAAGTGGGAGGGTGACTGAGTTGCTTGCCCCCAGGCAGTGGGTCTTTCTGAGAGGTTGATGCCTGACCTCTTTTCCTACAGCCATCATCACAAATGTGATTCAAATCACAACAAACTGTGAACTCTTTGCCCCCTTTTACCCCAAAGTGGTGGGAAAACATGTGTTACCTATTCCTTGTTTGTGAAGAAAAGATTAATTTTAGCCTCTGAAGAATTCACAGGAAAAAGAAATGAAGGCTGAATCAAAGGCAGTATATGAAAATGTCTCCCAATCAAAAATAGTGGAACTATCATGGGAGTTAAAATGAGAGTAGTTGAGTCCCTAGCAAGGTACTAACTACTCTGATGGCCAGGACTGCACTGCTGTGTATAAAATAGGGTTTGCCAGCAGTACTGACAGGTTTGTGGAGGACAGGTACACTGTCTTTGTCATTACTGTGTACAGTTCCTTAAGCAGCTTGAGTTATCTGCAAATCCCATCTCCATTCCTCACAGTCCCAGACAGTGGCTTTTTAAGTAACAGGCTTCAAATAATGAAATAAGGCTGCACAAGTCATTAAGTGGAAGTTTTCTCTTCCTTCCCCATGCATGTCCAATTCTTTACCATGTTATTCCTAGTCAAAGCTAATGCAGCCAGATAAAATAGATTTTAGATAAATACATTCAAGGAGTTAAATCCTGCAGTTTCAAGTCCAGGTATATCCCTGGTGGATCTTGTACTTTGAATAAAATACAAAACATTTCTAGGTATGAAATTCAGGTCAGTGTAGTTTTTTATCTATCATCAACACTTCAGTTTACCCCTGCTACCCAAACTGAGGCATGTGGAAAGAAAAGGAAGAACAAAAAGCAATACCTCTCTTCCTTGGATAGTGTAACATTTTCTGTCAAGGTTTTGGATTTTTGTTTGGCACATCCCTGGTCGTCAGCATGAGAAATCTAATGTAGGTTGAATGGATAAGGTCCCCTGCCATAATGTTTAACTCAGAAGCCAGGGAACACACTGGAGCAACCCTTGGAGGGTACGAAGCTTCTTTTGCAAAGTTTCCAAGTCACTTAATTCATTGAATGCCTAGCCTAGGGACTTTCCTAGAAAAGTTTCCTGGAAAGGCATAATGTGTTAAGGGCTCCTGACATGGGAATTGTGAAATGTCACAGCTCAAATCCAAACCCACTGAACTCCTTCTGCCCATGCCAAGAGTTCAGCCCTTCACTGTTGCAAGGGAGGGGAAGGAGGTCCTCTTGAACAATTCTGCTCTAGACTTGCCCCATTCTTGTAGAGACTGCTTTGAAAAGGGGTTCTTCAATTGATGAGGAAGATGAAAGGATCACTACACTGAGCTCAGGGGTCTAGTGAGTCTTGTAGAATATTCAACAAGTTTCTCACTGAGCACCTGGTGTGGGCAGGTAGCTAGCTGTACACATAGAGAGATATTTAAACAGCTCTTCATCATCGGCACAATCTGTTGTGCAGAGTTTTTGGAGGCTGTCCATGGTTTTGTGGAAGGCATGACTTTGCCTCACGTGAATACCAAGGTTATGTCAAACACAGCAATACTTACCTTTACTGTGGTCTGTTGGAAAGCAGCCCACAGTTTCCTGTTGCAAGGAAAGCAGCAAGCAGTCCAGAAGAGTGTGTGGTGGTGTGGGATGGGAAGTGGCAGCATTTGGGTGGGACAATTACACACGCAGCTGACAAAGAGGCTGCTGTACAAGTTATGCGCTCCTGCTCTAAGCAGACATGCTCTGAAAGAAATTTAATTAAAAACATGCATTGAAGTGGTAACAGGAAAAAAGGATGTTTTCTTTTCTTCAAGGATATTTGCTATTCTTTTCAAAAGGATTAATTGAGGAGTTAACTAACTTTGTTAACTTCTAAACTATTAAAATTTAAAGAATTCACAATTTATAGATTTGACAAGGAAGTAGCAATTAATATGTATAAAAGCAATAGAACACAAGTAAAGAGTCTTGCCTTTCTTCCATTACAGATAGAAGTTCAGCACTTACTTACTTCAACTGGCATACCACTATTATGCTCAAAGATCTCTCCTTCCTTGAAGGAGAATTTTGCCATAACATAGATGATGTTTTTAAATCCTTCCTGCTCTACTGTAGAAAACTAAGATGTGTGCTGTATCAGAGTGCCCTACTGCAAGCAAGCCACAAGCTGGGATGGACACTCCTGTGTTTTGTGTCTCTGTAGTTCATCCCTACTAGCTGGGGACTTCTCAAGCCATGTGAAGCAAAGTTTTTTGCATCTTTCTAGGACCACTTTCTGTCACCAGAAGGTCAGAAACACAGCAAATTTGAAAATATTGCCAAAGAAAGAAAAATCAAATCCAACAGAACCTTGATTCTGCATAGGTTAAGAGTTGCTATGGTGTTCTTCCTGATTTTGGTGCAGAAGCCAAGATGGAAGATAGTGCTGGAGTTCTTGATTTTAAAGTAACAGAGAAATCAAAAGTATCTCAAGTGTACATATCCAAGGAAACAACTTTTGAATCTAATACTATACTGTTGGAACCCAAGAATAATTTTGCAGACTGTGATAATTTATTGTTCTCTGCAATTGCTAAAAGATTTCCGAGCAAAAAACAAAAGCTCAAATCTCTTCATTGTGACATTGGGCCAGCTATTCTGAGTCTTCTTCCTGAGCATACTTTTCTGGAGGGATGCTGGTTTAATATTTATCAGCATATCTACTCCAAAGTAAATGAAGTGTCATCTTGCCCTATGGTAGATAAGTTCAAATTGCAACACTGAACTTGGATCTCTTTGAAGGATCAACAAGCTCCAATGGATAGAATCTATAGCTAGTCTAACGACTGGTTTAATATCTGTTCTTTGTTCAAATATACTAATGAGCTCAGTCAAGCCCATTAACAGTTCCCAGAGAAATAACCACCTAGAACATGGTTTGCTACTGCTGCTGACAAAGGCCTTCATTTCAATGAGAGCAGAATCAGGCTTATTAATTCTTATAGCTCATTAGTAATTATGGCTCCTGGCAATTCCTAGAGCTCATTAGTGTTATTGTTCCCAGTAAATTGTGATGGAATAGCTGATTATATTTCAGCAGCCTTTCAACAGGAAACAAGTTCATCCTATTTTCGGGAAGTGTTTTTAAGGTTTTTTATTTATTTCTAGCTCTAAATTAATTCCAAATTACGAAAGGGGTACACTCACCATAACTCATGCTGTCATCCTCTCTAGCAGAAGGCTTCCACCTCTGTGGGTACGGGGGACAGACCCTGCTGCCCTGAGCATGCAGATCCCAGTCCTGCTGTTCTGTACTTGCTTGGCTACTGCTTTACACTCCATCAGTGTTCTTTAAGTAGAGTCTCTGCAATGTTTATTGCTCAGGGAAAAGTTTCTGGTGATCTGTGAAGCCCTTCTAAGCATTAGCTCAGAACGCCTGACTCCCAGTGTGTATGTCTTCCCAACCCAATACTGAATTGTCTGAGAGGCAAACCCACAAATATTTTATTTTGGTGCTCTGAATTGCATGATTGCTCACACTCCTAAATAACTTCCTCAATTTCCCTGTGTCAGGATATCCCTAACTTCAAGCCATGAACTGTGCTTGGGTTTAATACCAGAAATGAAAGGCAAAAGCTACAAGGTGGTGGCATGGTATGAAGCCCAACACAGGCTTTTGTCACTCCTCTGCAGTGAAAGCTGCATATTTTTAGGCCTTAGGGGCCAGAAAATACATGGTGAGGCTGGGAGCAGCAAAAGGTGATAAACTCACCCCAGGAGCCAGCAGAACTCACACCTCCCTTCCCACCACTGCTCAAACACGCCCCCCTATGCTTCACTTTGCCTTTCAACATGCTTCCTTTGTCCTGTCTCTCTCTGCCCTAGGTTGGCTTAACCTCATTCCTTTCCACACACGAGCTGTCTCTGAAGGGAGTGGTGCTATACTGCACTGGCTGCCACGGGCCTCATGCAACAGACCTGTGTTATTTGTGAAACCTGGGCTTGAAAGCTGTAGCTTGCTCACTGGAATGTGTTGGGAGTCATACACCACTTTCACATTATCTTCATGATTCCCACAGATTTTTGTGGCAGTGCACCCACTGCCATTCCTTTCCAGACTGCAGCGTGATCAGAGAAATGCTTGTTAGGCCTTTCCTTGAAAACACCACCTGGGCTCAGCTCTTTCTGAGCTTATCAGAAACACTGTCTGTTCCCAGGAACTCCTAACAAGCTTGTTTTTCTCATAACCAGCCTTGGAAAATATCTCTCGGGCCTGAATGGCATAACATTCCTATTCTCACACTTTCAAAGAAAGTGCCGACCCAAACTGTGGCCAAGATGAAACATTGTTATGACTAAAGCCTTTTTTGCAACCCAAATAGCAGTCCAAGACGGGGCCCTTTGAGCTCTCCTGGACCGCAGCGGGCCTGTGACCAGCAATGTCCCTCTGAGGGGGACGCTCCTCAGAGCCAGCAAAATTCCAGGGTTGCTATACCTGGATGATCACTGAACCACCATGTGTCCTGGGCCGATACCCTCACTCCTCAAGGCCCAATCTTTCTCCTGTCAGGAGATTCAAAAGCATCCAAAGTGAGTATTTTCATTGAGCTCTGAGGAAGATTTTTCCACAGCTACCTTATCTTGCACTGACTATGTCTGCCTGCATACCTTCTGCACATATGCTACAGCAAATCTGGAAGTTAGCTTAATTTACAATTATAATTTAGACTAAATGCTAGCAAGTGATTTCTCTCTTAATTGTTAAAGTTAAGATATAAATTAAGGTATAAGTTAAGCTAAAGCACTGTCAAGTTAGTGTTGTTAAACTTTAGGCCACATTCCTTTTCATCTTTGTTTACACTGTCTTTACACACACACACATGCACACAATACCCCCCTATGTAGTTTTCAATTAATTTCTGTTTTGATTGCCTGGATTTTGTTTGGTTTTGTTGTTGCTTGCTTTCCCGTGTTGTGCCTCAGTTGTCCTTTGTAAGTAGAGTGAATCTTATCAATGCATTTATTGTGCTTTGTAGTTCTGACTTTTGCTCATACCCTTGTTGGTGGTTTTTTTAGGCAATCTCAAGCATGTTTGTTCAGGACAGATTTTAAACCAGCAAAATCTTCCAAAATAAAAAGCATGAGTACAAATGCTTATGAAAGGAGCAGCCTCTGGGGGAAAAGATGAACAGAAAATTCCTACCAGCATCTGGTCTTTATGAAGTTTACTTAGAATAGATGACCTTTCCTAAACTCTGGAAATTATTTTTTTGACTATGGATGATTTAACTATAAGCATTCACTTGGATTTCAAAGGCTTAGCAGGTTTCCACAGACATGCCTAGGCACTGGCTCAATTACAGCACATCTTGCTGAGCAACTCGAAACACAAATTTTAACCAGACATTTCTGTGGGAGGAACCTGAGAGCTTTTCTTGTGTTTGTGTGCAGCCCACATTCATAAATCACTCCATTACCTGACCTCTGTCCATGAGCTGAATCTCTCTTTGCAATCCAGGTCATGCTGCCCGTGAAGGGAAATTGTCTCCTCTCTCAGCTGGGCCCTGACCAACTTTGGCTTTTTGATAAAGCTCTCAAAAAATCCCAAAGGCATGGCAAGTAATGAACCAATGCGGAATACGATGCGAAAGACAGGATGTTTATGGAGAGAAAGGGTAAAGATTTTTATCACACCATGGAGAGCAGACACCAGGATGAACAAGCACCATGGCACTCTGCAGGTGGAGCTGCAGAGGGAAGGGTAGAGTTAATTCAGAAGCCTGGTAATTTCACAGTCAGGCAGATGGTATTTCAGAAGATGTAAAACCCACCGAACAATCAATGTAGTTTCATTAGCAACTGCTAACAATTAAACACCAGAATTTATATTGTTCTCTGAGCAAATAAACATCTGACAACAAATAACTGAAAGTTAGTATTGAATAAGGACAATTCCCATCAACTGAACTGCATAGACAGATTGGTAGATTTAAGAGTAGTAACTTGTCACACTAAGTCTGGAGGAAGAGTGTGGCTGGTTAACCATCTGGAAAATTATTCACTTCCCTATTCAAACCACTTCTAAAAAAATATGCACAGATCACTCACAGAATCACAGAATAATTTGGGTTGGAAGAATGTAAAGGTTCCAACTTCACTGCAATGAATGTGAACACCTTCAGCTAGATCAGGGTGCTCAGACCACCCTCCAGCCTGATCTTGAAAGTTACAAAGGATGGGACATCCACCACCTCTCAGGGCAACTTGTGCCACTGTCTCACCACTCTCATTGTGAAATACTTAAATTTTTCTTCAATCCACCCTCTTTCAGTTTAAAACCATCATCCCTTCTGAGCCCTATCTTAGTTGTAAACCTCACAGAAGTATTGAAAGGCTGCATCCTCCTCTCCAGGCTGAACAAACTCAACACATCCTTTCGTCACAGAGGAGGTGCTCCAGCTTCCTGACCGTCTTTGTGTCTCTCCTCTGGACTTACTCCAGCAGATCCACAGCCCTAATGCTGGGGACCACAGAGCTGGATGCAGCAGTGGTGGGTCTCACCAGAGCAGAGCAGAAGGGTAGAATCACCTCCCTCAACTTACAGAGATAGTAAAATATTTACATTTTTTAAAAAAATTCTCTTCTTCCTTTACCTTTTTTTTCTTTTTTTCTGTAGGGAAGATAAAAGCAATAAACGTGTAAGCATTAGAAAGATGAGATGTAGTCAACTCCTTTGCTGTGCCCATCTCCTCACAGCTGCAGTGGATCAGTATCTTCTTTTATTCTCACCAGTGGCCTGGATGAACTAGAAGGAATTATGTCCTAGTATGAGTTCTCACAGAAAACAAGAAGAGATGTACAGACCCTACCTTTCATCCCACCTTAT